TTTTTTTTTTTTTATATCGCTTAATACAAGAATTGTAAAAATTCAAACGTTTCTAAAATCATCGATAAATCTTTTCTATGACTAAATCCACTTTGGACTTATTAACGCGTTTAAAACTTATTCTACGATTTTCTGCGATTTTTCTCTATTTTACTGAACTTTGAATATGTTTAAGAAATTTTAACATTTCGTCGTCAAATGTTCGAAGTTCAATAAAACGATGACGAAAAATCGTACAGCAAGTTTTAAAGAAAAGAGAAAATTTTAGTCTGCAAAATCACGATGTGATCAAGTAATAAAAATTATTTTTCAATATTTCTGAAGACGATTAAACTTTTATATCAGCTACACAATGTAAAAATATCTGTGGAGAAAACGGACTGAGGTTTTACATTAAAATAGCCTAAATGTCGTCAATTTTTCATCGTTAGCGATATAGTTATGCTCTTCACTGTAAATGCGATACTTCTTATTAAAATTGTATGCACATTAGTCGATTCTGACACTTGTAGTTTGAGGATTAAGTGATAACAAATAGTATATCGATTTTTATTGCGTGAATGTGAAGCCTGAATTATGTGATTACACAAAATTATGCGATTGAATCATCGTGCTCGCTGCAAAGCCCATTCCAAGTGTTCAATTAAACTCGTTACAATCGTTGTCAGTTAACAGGATGACAACGAGGTATCAAATGTTATTTTGCGTAACTAATTATAATTATAACAAACCAGGTGAGCGTACAAGTGTTAAAAAATTAAATGTATTATATTTTAAATAAAAAAAAAAAAAAAAAAACGTTTGTTTCTATGTTACATCTTGCAACATTTACTTTTATGTTATTTTAAATAATAATTACCATTTTGTAGAAAATAAATTCATTTTCTTCTCCTGATGTATAAACGATTATAATAAAAAAACGTTCCACCATAAAATTGCATTCACGATTGTATTTCTCTGTCCAATGTATGATACAATTTTTCCTCGAAGAAAAAATCTAAATTAGAAGCATTAAAGAAATTTACAAAATTTGTTTAATTGAGACTTGAAGAAGGAGGAAAAGTACGTGTACATATGTAATGTGCCAGTGACTCATCGGGAATACTCGATGGGGACACCTGTACTTACAATTCTTTGGAAATGGTTGAACGGCCTTGAACTCGG